AGCGCCGTGCAGCGCCGTGCAGCGCAGCGCCGTGCAGCGCCGTGCAGCGCAGCACCGTGCAGAGCAGCGCCGTGCAGTTTGATTTCCTCTCAGGTCAAACCATTAGCACTCTGATGGATCGTAATGTCTTTGCTTGTTTTCGTGTTTGTGTGTGCGTGTGTGTGCAGACGCGGGTACTGCAATGGAGAATGGAAAGCAGGAAGCTCGTGGGGTGCAAAAGCCTGGTAAGACATATCCCACAATCGCCTGTCCTGCTGGTCTGTTTGCAAAGGCCAGCTGGTCGTCGCCATCCACCCATCATGGCCTCTTGACCTTTACTTGCCTGTCGAGCTTCATTTCATCCATCTGGAGCTTCACGTTCATTGGTTGTGTGTACCTGTTTGTGTGTGGGATGTTTGGGGCTTTTTAAAATCTGCAGGATGCTCAAACTGAGCAGAAAACAAGTTTAACGTTGGAAAAAAGACAGAAAAAGTAGTAAAGACTTGCTTTTCTGTTTAACATCAGACTGTATGTATTTGCATGACAGCGAGTCTTAAGTGGCTACAGGAAGTTGTGTGCTCAGCAGTCCTGTTGCATACGATCGGAATAAATTGATCTCACATTTGAAATAATAAGCAGCAGAGATGAGGAACGCATACAGAGCGTCTAATGAACTATCGGATCTCTCTCTGGCTGTCTGCTCAAACACGAATAGACCAATGAGAGGAGTGTTTGTTGTGTGTGGGTGTGTGCTCCATTTGGAAATCAGAGCATCTGTTTTTTTCTCTCTTTTAAACTTTCCTTTCCAGTAGTCTGAGTAGTCTTTGTTCCCACCTCCCAACCTTAAGTAGCCCATACACACTTCTGTTCCTCTGTTCGCTGTTTTTGGTCGCGATGCTGATGATCCATAAAGTGCTGCTCTGCATGGCTTTGCTGGAGAAAGGATTATGCATGGGTATGTAAGTGATTGTGTATCGTGTCCCTCACTGGCAAAGCCCAGTTCCCACTGCTGCCTCTATCAGCACAGTGTGAAGGGTTGCATCCCTGCATCTTCTACACTCACAGGGAAAATATGGTGGTGGTGGGTGGAGGAGGTCTGTTCTCGACCAATCAGACTCTAAGAGGAGGTATTTGCAGGGTCTCCAGCCTACTGCCGATTCACTTCCTCTTCACAGTAAATGACACAGACGCAGGTTTAAGCTCTGTCCTCGCCGGCTCATCTATATCTGCCAGTTATTTCCTGATGAAAGCATGCCCTGCTTTATTATCTGTTTCACTCTAAAAGGAATAACAGTGAACAAAATGATGTATTTGTATAGCGCTTTGCTTAGTCCCTATGGACGCCAACGCTTTACACTACATTCAGTCATCCACCCATCCACACACACATTCACACACTGGTGATGGCAGCTACATTGTAGCCACAGCCACCCTGGGGCGCACTGACAGAGGCGAGGCTGCCGGACACTGGCGCCCCCGGGCCCTCTGACCACCACCAGCAGGCAAACATAATGTGGATTTAAAAGACTTGAGACTAGTAATCATAAACTAACCTAGAAATGGAGTAGTACATTTCTAGGGCTGCTATTCCTTTGGTTAAAATCATAGTCTCGTTCTCATTTAATACAAATATTCGTCCACATAAATATTATGCATGTGTTGATCTCCAAAAGCCTCTGAACTGCACGGTGTCCACAGACTGGTGGAGCATCAACAGCAAACATTACAGTCACACATCTCTGAAAGCAATCTGTTGGTATCTCCAGTTTTTGTCTTTTTTCTTTTTTTGCTGATCCGATCCGTGACTTAAAAGCGTGATCCGAACCGAACCGTGAGAGTTTTGATCCCTTGCACCACTAGTAGCCGCAAACTCCACTGGTGCAGCTTTGCAAACATCTTTTGTAGATTTAGTTTTCCAAGAGCTTCTTTGTCTACTCCTTGGTCTTTCTGTCGTCTTGGCTGCAGCAGGTCTGAACGGTGAGTTTGGGCTTTTGATGGAAAAAAGGCACCACGGTAAATCGAGTGGCTCTTTTAATCTATAACACAAGCAAACAAGAACCAAAGGAAGCACTTCCAGTAGTCAGTCGCATGCAGTGAACGTTCAGTTTACAATCAGCCGCCCTGCGAGTCGAACCGCTGCTGATTCACATCCCGTGTAGGATCCACTGAGATGAAGTCACGGTGAGGATGGATGCTGATGACAGTGGGAGGAAGCGGTCTGCATGTAAATAAGTCCATAGTAACTGTCTGCATGCATGGGCAACTTGTGTTACCGTGGTTACCGTGGTGTTTGCATGCGTTTGTTTCTAATAAAAAGGTGGCTGATTTCGCACACTGCATCTGTACTGAGATCAGCAGGAGCACAGTTTAGGCTGATAAACCTGTTCTCTGCCTGCTTTGGTAAACACAGCATCAGCCTCATCAGGCACAGTGGTTCCATCCATCACTGTTATTGCAGCAGTCCCCAAGGTAAGGACGCAGGCGGTATAAGTGGTAACTGGGTCAGAGGATTGAGAGCATAAGCTGAATCCTGACGGTGCAAATGCAGATGTGTGTGCGCAGAGATGCTGCATGATGCTTCTGCATGGCACACAAACTCAGCTGTAGGATGTCGTTTATCTTTTCATGTCCAGTAATGAGTTGAGGACGAGATGTTTTCTCATTGTTGATTTTGTGACATCTTTACTAACCTGGTTTCTTCCCTTTTCCTCCTTATCCTGTTTATCCTCCTTCTTTTCTCCCTGTTTTGTGATATTTACACTCTTCTTTGTTGTTCTATATTTTTCTTTCTGTTTTATTATTTCTTTTCTGCAATGTCTTTTTTACACTTTTCCTTCTTACCGCTCCCATGATGCTTCTTTTATCCTACGCCCCTGTTTTTCATCCTTTCCCAATCCCCACGCTTCAGAGGACTAGAACCCGCCTCCATCGCCATGCTGACTGTCAGCCCGCTGTGCTTCTGCTTCTGTGCACCTCCTCCCTTCTCCCCGTACC